ATGGCCTTCTCCAGAGGATTCTGGGAACTCTGGTTTTCCTCCCTGGAGGCAGGACACATTCTCTCCCTGTGAGACATTCCTGTTGACAAGCAACATGGAGCTATGCTGATGGAGCCTGAGCCCTGGAGCTGGAGGATCCATGTGGAGACTAAGGTCAGCACTGAGATGCTTCCGCCGCCACTGAACCCACAAGACTTTCCACCCACTGGCCTGCGATCTTCCTGCATTTGGCATCATTGCATGTGTTGCGTGAGTTTAAAAAGGAATTTATAAACCAGTATTGGACGAATGGGCTACTATTGGACTTATGGACTTGATCTGGACTGGGATGGGATGCTTTCTTAATATGCAATTACTCTTTGATATAAAACTCTCTCTTACACACATGAGTGTCTCTGGATTTGTTTCTCTAGTCAACCCGGACTACCACACACTGAAAGAGACAAGGCTAAAAAAATTGTGATAAAGGGACCTATATCAGATATAGATTAATTGTAAATGATGTGAATTCAGGACTCAGCACAACAAGTCCTCCTTAGCATGTTGATATAGACATGAAGCTTGGCATGAAGCTAAGGCATGAAGCTTGTTCCAGATGTTTAAAGAAAAAGGACTAGACAATGATATGGCATTCAAGATGCTTAAAGACTAAGGACAATATGGTATAGTGTTTCTGCAGTGTCTAAATCACATAAGGGCCTATTTTACAGCATGTAGCTCAGTAAAGTAGAACATTAGCGAACAATAAGGAAGACCCTCTACCAGGCAAATTGGCACACTGGCTGCAACAATGGGGTTCAAACGTGAGGATGGCACAGGGTGAGGCAGTGCTCATTCTGGTTTGCATAGGCTCACTATGAGTCAGAACCAGCTCAATGGCACCTAACAACAACACAACAATAGTACGAATGTTAATCGATGCATGATTGTATACCCGAAAGACTTGAAAGCTGGAATTCAAATAGATGCTTGCTCTTGAATGTTCATTGTAGCATTTTTCTCAGCAGCCAATAGGTGGAAACAACCTTCCTGTTTATCAACAGATGAAGTGATAAGCAAATTGTACTATGTATATACAATGAATATTATCCGGCCATAAAAAGGAATCCATTCTGATACATGCTATGACATGGATGAACTTTGAAGCCATTATGCTAAGTGAAGTAAGCACGACCCAAATGTGCAAATGTGAGGGTAAGAAGAAAAAAAAAAGCACTGCTACAAAATCATAAAATGTGAAGCTCTTTTTACTTGACATATTCCTCCAAGTCTATATACTTCTAAAGACAGTATTTCCATCTCTCCAGCACTTCCCTAAAGAATTCTGTGCTCTATGATCACAGAACCTCAACATGGCAGTTTTGGCACCCTTGAGAGACTTAACTCATTTTCCTTTTAGATGTTGTTTGAGTTTGGGGGAACAAAAATAAGCCTGAAGGGGCAAGCTAAGAGCTGTAGGGTCGATGGGGTATGATTTACCAATGAAATTTGCCTAGGACAGCTCTGGCTACCTTTGAAGAATGAGCAGGTAGCATTGTCATGATGGGGAGAAAATTCCCTGGTGCAATTTTCCTGGTCTTTTTCTCATCAATGAA